TGGGGCACCCAAGTGCCCCCGTGACACACAGAAAGACACCTTTGCGCCTGGGTGGAACTTGAAGTTAAAAACTGTAAGGAGCCTGGGGCATTTACATGCTTCCAGTTAGGCAGCACTGAGCAGGGCTTCCCAGGATTTAAATTTTGTATTTAGGTGCCTAAAAATCTGCCTATGGGTACGTCTTTTTTTGGATCTGCTCTGAAGTGGAAATGGAACAAAGAAGCTTAAGTCACTTAGGTGCTTTAGAAAATACTGCCTACAGCCTGTGCGATCCTCAGCTTTTCCATTAGTAAAGCAAGAATACTATTACCTACATTCCAGAAGTGTAGGGAAAGCTAATCAATTAAAATCTATGGTGGGGTCTGAGATTCTCACACAAGTGTTATACAGTTGTGTTTTAGATTGGACACGGCATTAACCAATTTTAAATGATTCAACCTCTTACTTTGTTTGGCCAATGCGGTGCACTCTGCCAATTGCCTGGAGCTCATGTGCAGGATTCAGAATGGGTTCGACCAGCAGGACATGAGTCGCTTCAATTATGTTTAATCCATTGGAACCAGTATGTAGGGGTAAGAGCAAAATATTGATCTTGGGGTCATATTTAAATGCTGAAAGATTTTCCTAAAAGACAAACAACATATTAGCTTTTCAATGGAAGCTATTCCTGAATAAAGAATGTGGGAACCGTCCCTACAACTGTAAGATAATTTAGTAGTTGTGAAAACATACCAGATCAATAACCCTAAAGACAGACATCCTCTTTTGTCCATCAGGCAGATACAGCACAGACAGCAGCAGTATATCATGCTCTTTATTCTTCCCTTTTGTCCATCCACACATTACTTTTTAAGAATGCAGATGGTGGTTAAGGCAGGCAAGGTTGTTTAACCAATGGTGGTTAAAATATTTTCTGGAACTGCACCATGTTTCTAGTCACTGTAGTGTTAGAGTTCAGTGAAAAAATTAAAGTTGAAGAAATTAAAGGTTCTGCTTGATCAAGCTTATAATTTTTGTTTTGTTTCCTCAAAGCACCAATGTGAAAGGATCAAATAAACTTTCACCTAACTTTCTGCCATTCAGAATAACTTACAGAAAAAAAAATTTCTTTACATACCTGAAATTTACTAATTCCATTGATCTGAGCAAACACCATGTTGTTATCATACAGAGCTTTTGAAATTATATCCAGCACATCTTGCCACTAGAAGTTGCACAAAAAGTCAATCATTATTACCAAGTGGTATGGACAATGCTAGAACACGAATGAAATAATCTCTCACAAATACTCAAAAGAGAAAGCAATAAAAAAAATACCAAACATTTTCTGATATGTCCTTAAATATTAATACTAACAAGTTGATTTTGTTTTATTTTGCTCCAAGAGTAATACCATTCACATTTTTTCTCAAATATACTGAATGTAAAAGTGGCAGCACAATGGCATTCATAAGGAGCAAGCACAGGCAAATAAACTGAGGAAACTAGGCAAGACACTTGTTTGAAAAAAAGCTGAGCAGAACTGCAACAATAAAATGCAGCTGTAAAATTTATGAAGAACAGTTTGACCTGCTCTAGGTTAAAATACAGTCGACTTGCTAATGCTCCTGCGCACTGAATTTCAGTGTTTTCCCTTTAAAGATGTACAATACTTTCCATCGAATGAAGGAGGCTACCAGTAATAACACCCCAATGATATAAATCATCTCCCTTATCTCTTTAACTATTTAAATAGCTATTGGTAACTACTTGCATATTTTGGTAGGGAAATTGAATTTTGAAACTATTACTAGCACCTAATATCCTGCTGCACAGCATGTACATTTAGATAGAAAATGGTGATCAATACCGTTGAGAAAACCAAAGATTTAGCCCCTGGAACTTTACACTGGATTTTCTTCAGAGTCCGTACCACAGCTTCCACTTTGGTGGAATGGCTTCCCTTTGAAAGGGAAAGAAAAAAAAGTCAATACAAAGATTAAGACAAAGAAAAAGCATGCACACTTTCATTACACACTGCTCTTTTAATTAACTTCTGTTAAACACAGCAAAGTCTGTCATAAAGGTTCCGTAAGGAATGAACAAACAAGCATATGCTAGTGGATCTGGTTTTTAAAAGGTCTAAGAAGATTATACCGGAAACTCTGAAGACACTTAAAATAGCTGACCCTTAGATTATATGCATCTCAGGGCAAAGAGTACGGGCAAAATTCAAACTCTGCATCCCAGAAAAATGGGAGCTGGAAACTGCCATTTCATGTATACAGCTCTGGAGCCTGTCCCACGTCTTATGGGTGGCAGAGCTCATTATCAATTGGACAGGATTTTGTGCTGCAATCCTCCTCTGATTCAATCCTTCCATCCCTGGCTTATCTGTTATACTGGGATTTAGCAAATAACCTGTGTCTGTCTTCTTCAGTTCCTGCAGCAGGCAGTTTCCCTTTTGGTTAAATTTACAGAGAATACAAAGCTCACAGAGTGTTTTTGTTTTGTCTTGTGCAGAAATAAGAACACTGACAATCAATAATTCTTTAAAATGATTGCTCAACACATGGTTATTTCTATTATATTGTGCATCCATGGCTTTTAACAGCTGCTTAAAGAACAATCACATCAAAACAAACAGCACCCCCCAAACCAAAATGTAATCAACAAGCAATTAATCTGAAGCAGGAAATCCCAGCTCTCACCTGACTCTTCCTTTTGTGCTCCTTCCCATTAAAATTGCAGGGAAAACAGATGGGCTTTGAAAAATGCTGTATGTAACAACAGTCTTGGACTATTCTGGATCAATCAGAGTACTAACTTCTGAAATTCAATATGACTCATGAGAGCACTCTTCTAATTTCCTATTTTCTAAATATGGGATGTTTGAACTGAGATGCCCTTACAATTATACCTGCATTTGTATGCCATGGGAAAAAGTGGTTTAGCAGGCAGGTTGATTTCAATTCACAGAGGTCAAACCCACATATGTAACTTAACTTAGAAACCCAAATGAACAGTAGTGTCATGACATTGTGGAAAGTTATTCTGCTTAAAATGTGTGCTGCTGCATTCTCAACTTCAGTTTACAAATAGCGTGCAGATATTTCAATTTGACATGGCAAGAGCATGGGTAAGAGTAGCTAGACTGAATATAAAATGACAGCCACTGCTAGGTCACAGGTGGAAGGACTGAATCCTTTGATGATCTAATGGGGCCAATTTTTTTTTAGCAAGCATGCCGTAAGTCCATCCCATGAAAAAGTGCCACTTTCTCCGCCATCACTACTTCCCAGTGCTGACAAATATCATCACAACAGGATGTGGCAACACTGAATCTGACGGCACCTACCACCACAGCTCCTGCAGGGGTAAACCTTTGAGCCAACACAGACCTCCAACTCCCATCCCCTTCTTGAGAGCCATTCTTACTCTCATTGCTAGCACCCCCTTCAACTCAATGCTGAGGATTCATCTGCGAAATACCAGTTGCCCATGACACCTATGTATGGCATGTGTGCTGTGGGTTGCCGACCACTGGTCTAACTGTACTTAGTTCATGAAAGTGGGCTGTATACAATTAAGGCCAAAACTTTCAAACATAGCCTGATGTTAGGCACCTCTCTTCATATCGAATCATTGAAGTGGCTTGATTTTCAAAGGTGCTAAGAATCTATAAATATCATTCACCTGGATTCAAAAAATGTTGTGCAGTTCTCCTACCAGCATCTATGCTTCCCCTTGAAGCAGGGCTTGCTGTTTCCCAGGACTTTCCAACATTTCTCAGCAACACATTCACATAATTTCTTGGTAACTACTGGCAACTACGAAAGGGACACTGCAAATCCTACACAGCATATCTTTTAAATGTTTTAGTTATTCTTTATAAGCTTCTGGGCAAGGTTTATACTCAACAGACATTCCCTAGGGAAAAAAAGAATATCCCAACTTTGGCACAGCAGTGTTGGCAGCAAATCAAACATGAATGCATTTAAGCTGTAAATGTTATCAATGTCCATCACCAGGAATTTTAGCCACTTCTGTCTTGGATCTGCTTTTAAAATCAAAAATAGTTTGACTGGCTACATACAAAAGCATGTGCTAGTGAACTTGGATTAATACTGTAGCAGCTTTGAGAACTAATGTAAGGGTTAAATTCCTTGGGCAGCAAGTCTACTTAGCACTACATAAGTACCCTGAGATTTCCCTTCTGCATGGGAATTGTCTGATAATATGGAACTTATGGTGAAAATGGATCCTCAACCTTGTGTATCTGCTACTTCCCTTTGGTGTATGGCACAGCTGATGGACATTTTAGTGTAGCATTCTGCTACCCAGAAAGACTTCATGCCACTGCACTCAAACTGCCTAAGAACTTAGCACATTCCTGTGCTTTAAAGGCAAGATCTAAAGTACTTAAGCAGGACGGTAAGGGTAAGTACATGAGCTGTTCCACTGAAGTTGGGAAGAGGAAGACGGGGTAGAACCCACAGTATCTTCCCTCACAAACAAATCTAAAGACCCAAATGCAATTTTATTCTATGTTGTTCTAAAAAGAATCTGTGACCAGAGCAAAGTATATAAATGAGATTTTATGATTTAGATCAACTCTTTCAGGAAGACATAGAAAGCAAAACAGACTGAGTCAAACTCCTCAAAAGTATAATTAATAAGTTCCTCAACAGATAAAACCCTATTTGGGGCATATTTACATAATTAAAGGATCATGAGAGGGAGCACTGGGGTGATGCCATACCAAGTACACCACACTCAAATAGATGTAATGTCACCCCTTAGTGAAGTGCACACCAATACACTCCCTCTCTTAGGCATGCTTTTTCGTTTTTGCCCAGAGATGCATAAAGGTGGCCACATTACATATTACATTCATATTGGGGTGTAACAGGTCTGCCACACTGTGCTTAACTGTATGGCTGTGTAGTGTGAGCTTTCAATGATGTGGACATGCCCCAATTTGCCTTTCATAGACCCTACTTAGTTCTACAAGGCTGAAAGTATTCTCAGCATCAGGAAAACTGACTTTGTGTTCTTAAAGATGAATTACTACAAACTGATTGATAACTAGCAGCCTTGATCTCTGATTACATTTTTAGGGAAAAAAAGCAGAAAAAATTACTATATTTTTCTGTAATGTTTATTCATGATTAGTGAGGGAAACAAGATACTTGGCATTAACTGCATCTTTTCCTTTCTTCAGAAAGGAACTGATATCAGTTTTCAACATCTTCTGCATGAAAAAAGTTTTCACAACAAACTGGAATAATTCATAGGCAAATACAAAGTCTGAAAAATATGCAGGTTTTGCAAGACTTAAACTAAGAGGTTATATAGCATCTTTTTTGTTTCTGAAATGTCATACACCTTTTGTATACTGCATCCAGGGATATATAAACTAATTTCAGTCATCACAAATTTAACTACCATTAAAGGTTCTACTGTTCAATCTCTGTGACCTGTGACAGCCTCCAGGATATGACATAAATGTGAATTCTTAAAAGGACCATTAACATTTAGAGGTAGATTGGCATAGACAAAAATGGAAGTTTTAACTTCTCCCACAATGCCCAATAAAAGTCAAAGGAAACTGACTGTCTAATAGTGCTTTGTGATTTTGAAACTCTCTACCAGAAGCATGTTTGCCATAGCACTGCACAAATACTGCAGCAGTTCCTTAAATGTTCTATAGCAGAAGAAACTCCTACAGTAAAATAACTTCCATCTTTAGGCTTTTTTTTTTGTTTGTTTTTTTTTGGAGGGAAGGAAGTAGAGTACACTTCAGACGTGCAGATGTTGAGTTTCTACCATGAGAGTCAAGGTTCTTTGAGTAGATGTGATAACTTTTATTAGACCAACTGAGTACAGTAAAAGCTGAGTTATCTGGCATCTTACAAGCCGGCATGCTCTGTTAACCAGCATGCCAGCTTGTAAGGGAAAAGTGAACCTGGACTTCTTTCCCCTCCGTCTGCTTTCTTCCCTCTCCCTTCCTTGCATTACCTTTTGTCTTTCTAATTCCTATCTATTTACATTCTCACTGACACCCTGCCACACTTTTAGCTTCTCTCGTTCCTTGGAGTCTCAGAACAGCAAAGGCTCCCTATGTCTGAAGAAGGGTGATTGCACCTGAAAGCTTGCTAAGAACATTTTTTGCAACTACTCAGTTGGTCTAATAAAAGATATCACATCTACTCAAAGAATTTTGTCTGCCTAGGTCCTCAGACCAACACAGCTACAACCAAAAACCCAGTACCATAAGAGTCACCATTCTCTTAGTAGAAAGAGAATGTTTGCAAATGTTCAAGCTTTTTTTCCCCAGAGAATTAATGGCTACTCTGGTAGAAAAACAACCTGGGAACAACCAGGTTAAATTGCTCCCAGAAGAGTTTCTCCCAGGAGACTGAGCATATGACATGCTGTCCACCCCACCTCACCCCTTCCAGCTTACTTCTCCTGGGGACCAGGAGCAGAGCCAGAGGAAAGGCTGCTATGCCTTCCCCATGATCAGGGTCACTAGTTTGGAAAAGGCTTGGGGGGGGGGGGGGGGGGGGG